TACTCTTCCTGAGTTTGATTTCAGATAGTGGAAGAACTGTTAAAAGTTGGCGCACCTATACATTTGCAATCACATGATGGTTTATCACCACTTCGTGCTGCAGCAATTAGTCGTAATGAAAAAGTTTTGAAATATCTTTTAGAATATCTCCGAAAAAATGGTGAAAAATTGGAGCTAGATGAGCTTGATCTCGATGGCGTACCATTAATTCATACATTACTTGTTTTACGTGATAGATCTATGGTTACAATGTTATTTGAATATGGTGCTTCAGCTACGGTACGTGATTCACATGGACGAAGTTGTGCGCATATCGTTGCACAGGTATAATATCTCTCCTACTTTTTTTTTTCCTTTAATAAGGTAAAATTTCAAAAAATGAATTCTTAACTTTTTCATATAAACAATATCAAGTAATATTTATTTTCGAAATTTATATTAAAAAAAAAAAATGATTACATTTTTCATTTTTCTTTTTTTGAAAAGATTTTCTCTCAGACATTAGAAAAATTTGTTCTCAACCATTAAAAAAAAAATTTAACATCCCGATATTACTTGTTCAAGCATATTTATTCAAATTTTGAAGTGAGCATTGTTTATCTTACAGTTAAATGATCTTAAATTAGCTGCTATTGTTCGAAAATATGGAGCAGAATTTGAAGCACGTGATGAAGATGGTCGTACACCATTAATGATCGCTGTTTGGTCATCTAATTATAAAATTTGTCATTACATGTTAGAAACTATTGGAGTATCACCAAATGTTGCTGATTATCAGGTTAAATATTAAATTTATCACCACCTATTATGATAGATTGAAAATATGCTAAAAATTGAAATAGTTTAAACTTTAAAACTTTTTAAAATTTGTTAATCAGGTAATTAATAACAATCGTTTTTCGTTGTTTTTTAGATACATTCTGATAAATTTTTTTTTAAATATAATAATTCTAATTTCATTTCATGAAATTATGTCTTTTCAGGGTGCAACAGCATTAAACATAGCAGCTAATAACGGACAACGTGATATAGTTATGCTATTGCTAAGATTTGGTGCTGAACCATCAATTTGTGATAATTTAGGTCGTTGTGCATCTGATGTAGCACAACTTGCAGGACATGATCATATCAGGTTTCTTAGAGTTTCATTATTTTTACTATTGATAGAAAGTTTAAAAAAAAACAAAAAACAAAAAGAAATATAAATAAATAAAATAAATAAAAAGGTTTTTTCTTACTTATAAAACACATAATTTAATATTTATCAGTTATATCTGTTTTAAAAATTTGAAATAATATTAATAATACCAATTTAAAAATATTAAATTGTTACATTTTTTTTGAATAAAAAAATTCCTGAGTAATTTTGTCTTTTCTATTTCTCTGTCTCTCCTCGTCCTTTCTGCTTTTTCTCTTCGTCTTTCTCTTTCTATCATTTCTTCTCTTATCCATTCCATCTTTAGGAAAACATTGGATAATTGTCGTGATTCGTACTCTTCTTTCACTTCTATTGATCAACAAATTGATCATTTATTGATTTATCGGCAATCAAATTTTAAACCATTGCCATGATCTGATCGATATATATATATGTATGTATATACGCATATATGTATGCAGCATTTGTGAACATCCACTACAGGCAAATCCTAAAAAGTGCCAATGGTTCAGCGGATAGTTCAGGATTTGGTTCATTGCCAAGCAGTCCAATACAACAATCAAATTCTAAATTTTTTTTACAACAACGAAATATTGGATCGTTGAAATCGAGCAATAATTCGCATGGTATAACAACAAAATGCAATGCTTTAAAAATTAGTCATTAAAAAAAAATGAAATTTTGTTTAAATTTACCTGTGATATATGTACATGAATATACATAAATATATTTCATTATTTTCCATATATAATTTTTACATGTATGATTTAATCTTTTTAAGGTTTAATTTGCTTTTTGAATTATCAAATTTTTATTCCTGAATGATGCAGCTATACTTGATAATGCTGTACATTGATATGATATTAATCATTTACGAATTTATGCAAACTATAAATGTGACAACATTTCTGTTATTATGAACTTAGGACTTGTTTACATTGTCGAATAAATGATACGAATTGATAGCACATTGATAACATTATAAATTCATACAAATTATAATTGTACCAAGTTACTATTGTTATGAATTGAAGAAAAAATTCCTATGGATATAATACAAATTTCATTGTTAAGTAGCAAATTTATATATGTATCAATAATTACCAAAATTTTATTGACTTCTTATTTGAGTGTTTTCTTCTTATTATTTTTGTAAATGAAATGATCTCACGTTCATTCTTCTTGTCGTGCCATTTGTTAAAGATATTCTTTTATAATTACAATGATACTTCTTTATTAAATCTTATCCCTGAAAAGTGTAATTTATTCGGTAACTCCGAAATGATCAACTGGTTAAATTGGAGTAATTCATGAATGTCCAATCTACTTCCGTACTTTTATGTAATTTCTCCATTAGCAATAGTCGTATGTTTGTCATGTTTCTTTCTTTTTAATTATATTATGTTCACATATATTTATATTTTAAGGTATTATTCTATCACATGCCTTATTTCATCCGGTGTATTATTTATTAATAAAGTTTTTTTTTTTCTCAAAAAAAAAAAACAACGTTGTCTTAATTAACTAATCAAAATATTTTCGCTCGTTTTATCATTATTGGATAGACTTATTAGAAGGTAAACTAATTAGAAATTTGAAAATAATTAATGTCTGTTTAATTATTTTTAGTTAGATGTTTAAGCATTTTTTAGAGAATACATCGGAAAGAGGATATTAATAAAAGTTATGTCGATAACAAAAATTCTTGTTAGCTAATCATGTTGGTTATCAGATAGCCTAATTACCCAAGTTTATTTTATTACAGTCTATTGCTTGTGTTTAACACTGAATTGAGGCGAATCGAATTAAAATTTAAAATAATATTAGTATTAGATAATTCCTTGTTGTTGGTAAGATTGGAATTATTTATCGTAAGATATCTCGATATACATGGCGATCATGCAGGTAATTATTTTGCAATCGGTGAGAAAGAAATAATCGATTAATATTTCCCAGACTTTCCAATTATTATAAAGTGAAATGTTATAATCCCTTCATTTAATATTCAGAATTTGAGATATCATTTTGATTCTCTCATTTTAGCATTTGAAATTAAAGTTAGATTCTGCAAATTCTATTTAATGATTCTGTTATTTTATTATTTAGTAATTAGAATTTGAATTGCAAAATCAGTGTGTCAAGGCGTAACAAATTTTTCATGACTAAGCATAAATAAATTCTTTCCTTGCGAGGGTCAGCCCAATGTGACAATTTTAGTTCATTTGACTGCAAATTAAAGATGTTGCAAAATTTTTTTTGCTTTCTTTTCACTTAAAATAGGAACGAGAAAGTATACAGTGGGGGAGGAAGAAGAAAGAAAAGGTAAATTCAATTCATTCAAATAGATGAATCTTTTCAAATTTCTTTCCACTTTTTTAATGCGTGAAATAATATTTTCTATGAGAACTACATAATGATAAATGTTACCTCTAATTCATTTTTCTCAGGCAATAATGTTCAAAAAGAATAAATGATGAAATATATAATGATGTGATGATGATGATGATAGTGTAATAATAATTGCTCCTAGGTAATATGAAGCAGGTGATATTAAAATAATTTGAAATAATGATGTCATTTCAATCTATATTTAACGATTTTTTTTTCACTCAAAATATTTCTTCTATACTATAGACTTGGGTAATGCTTAATTCATTTTTCGACTCATTTCCCTTGTGGTTTTACTTTTTGATACTTCAGCTAACTTAATATTTCTTCTCACTTATTTCCCAGAAGGCATTTTGCTTATTTCTTAGTTATTTTCCATTTTTCTTTTTTCCAAATTTTGAAATATTCATTCTTACCGCCTAGCTTATTGTTATTGCATTCGATTCATTTTCGATATCTTATTACCGTGGTAAACTTTATAACAGATAATGAAATAAGTGCTTGAAGTTAACAAATAAGCACATTAAAATTGAAAGCTAGAATATTTTTGATAAATTATTTTAATGTTTCAGTTAATCATTTCTTTTTTATCCCTTTTAGCAGTAATTATTTAAAGTTAAAAAGAATAGTTTAATAAAATGATGAAATTATTATTGACAATTAAAATTCATTCATAACTTGATCATAACTTAATCAACTATTTTATTTTCTTTATGAGAAAAAAGAAAGATGTAAATTGATGAATGGAAATGGAATTAAATATATATTTACTTATAACTTCGAATATTTTCAACTCATCCATACCTTCTTTTTTAATTCTTCCCTCAAAAAAATTAAACATATTTAATTACGCTAAAAATTTTCATATAATTAGATAATTATAATTTGCTTGTTTTTGCATGCATACCGTTAGCATTACCTATTTGTTTATTACGACATTACTTTTTTCTTTTTAATTTCCATTCAGTAACCTTTCAGAGTCATTCTGAAATAATATCACTGTTGAATGAAGATAACAAAACATAAGCGTTATAATATATGTTAGTTATTCAGTCAAATCAAAACACGCGGAAAACAAATCACAAAAAAAAAAAAAAAAAAACGAAAGAAAAAAAGGAGCACAGCACCTTAACTATACTGGCTTTTTTAAATTTTATACACAAAAAAAAAGACATATTTTTCTCTTGACGAAATAATTTTTGTCGATAATTTCAATTATTTAACATATTACATTGATGGCAAAGGAGCCAAACGGTTGAATTCAAGCATAATTCTTCGAAAAAAAAAAAAAAAACAAAACATAAACTCCTTCTTGATTTCTTAAAAGCGAAATTTATCAACGATTTGATCAGCAAAAGGATCTGTTTGTTTATTACGAATTTTAGAAACTAAAAAGATCGAAAAAAGAGAAGAAAAAACACAATTAGAAATGAATTGAAATAAACATTTATTGCTATGAACGTTTAAAATCACAACTTAAAATACGTATAAGTGTTTTCTTAAATTGCTGATTAGCCATGGCATAGCAAAATGGATTAATTGGACTATTCATATAACATAGAAAATAACTAATGGAATAGAAGAAATTGAATATTTTCGAATTCTTACACGAATCACAAAATCCCATCACCGTTGCTAATACATAAAACGGTGTCCAAAGGATTGTAAATGTTCCAAGGATAAATGTTATTGTACGTAATGCCTAAAACAAAAAAAAAAAAAAAACTCTTCGTTAAAATTATATAGCTATTACATAATTATTAGCTTATCTATTCATTTTTAATGTTCATGCTTAAAATATATAATATTAGTCATAAAATTTTAAACTTAATTTTTTTTTCTCGAAAATTTTTAAACAATTCAAAAAATAACCTTTCGTGCTCGATTTTCAGATTTTGATTTATATTCATTCTTGCATTGTTGCTTTTTAAGTCGTCCTAAACTTCTTTTACGAACAACATTAATGATATTATAAATGCCTTGTAAAGAATGCTTTCGTGGTGTCACTTGAGCGGCTGTTAGCAGCGGTCGACGTACTTCTTCCGATGTTACCAAAATATGCTTTGGTTCCTCGATAACCTCAAATTGAAGGAATATTTTTAACAAATTATTTTTAGATATAATGAAATAAATATAAAATTACAAATGATGCAATTATTGCTAAATATTTATGATAAGAATTAAATTTTACATCATTTTTTCAACAGATTATTTCAAATATAAATAAACCTCAATCCGAGGCGGTATCTCATAAACATCATCATGCCCAACTAATGATGTTAAACTATCAATATCAATAAATGGAATACGATGAGCGGCACTGAATGGTGTTTGCTGTTCTGCATCCGGATCCGAAATTTCCGGTGATACACATGGTGCTGTACTTTCACGTTCCATAGCACTGCTTACTTTTGAGCTTAGTTCACTAATAAATAATAAAAATTTGTTGTAGATAATGCTGAATAGTTATTTGATAAAAATGAGATTTTGATATTTGTAAAATTCGTCACAATTGTAAAAAAATTCCAATAGGAACTAATAAAATATATGGTAAAACTTACAAATGGCACACAATTCTTTCTTCATTAGGTATGTTCTCATCATTAATGCAATCTACTTGAGCATTTCTCAAATTTGAAATGAACGAAAGCGGCTTTTTGATTGAAAATCCTCTGCTATTGTTTGATCCACCTTTGATACTGTAATATCATACATACATTCATGCCACCTTCACATTCCATACTGTAGCATTACATTGTCATTCTATCCCTATACACATCTTAAACCTTCTCTACATCTTGATGCTGCAATATTACACATAAACTTGGACCATCCCGATACTGTAACACTATGCAGCTATGCTACCCCGGTACTGTAACATGATGCAGCTATACTATCCTATAGTTTGATGCAATAATATCTTTACTATTAACACTGTAACATCACATAATCTTCAGTATTGGTACTACAGTATCATACTGCTACACTATTCTTATATCCTCATATCGTAATACTACATATACCTATATATATATACACTTAATGCTATACTCACATCTTGATACTACACACTGTACACTCATTCTGTTTTTACATCTTCATATTACATACATTCATAGCAGTAATATTGCACTCTTATACTAATACCATCGATTGAAAAATACCACTTACTACTTCAAATATAATCTCATCATTAACAAATTTATATCAATTTAAGGTATAAATTACAAAGCCAAAGACTGGAGGAAATATTTTAAAAGCATAACTAGCCTTCTCTTTGGGACCAAAGGTATTATGGAAGTATTGATATCGGCAGTAGCAGCAGTATTCGTAATAGCAGTAGTTTCTTTTCCAACCGGATGAACGATATTGTTATTACTGCTTTGGTGAAGTAATTGCTTTTTAGAAGCTGTTGGAAGTTGTCGAGAATTAATTGCCGTTGCGTTTCTGAAATGATACGTATATGTTTGTATGTACGTGTGTACACGCATATGTGTATATTTAATATTCTGAAGGGCCTACCATTAAATAATAAGAATCAAATGATGCGATAAGGTATTAAGGGGAAGAAGTACGATATCAGAAAAAAGAAACAAATTAATTTATAAAATATTATTTCAAATACTTATCAGACATATACAGAAATAATTCAGCAAATATTCAACAAATATCTGAATATATAATAAATATAAGCATATTAGCATTATTTATAAAATAATATGTAATAGTTAATGTTAATTAACTATAAATCCTGTATCTCCACCAATATACCATCTTTAGGTGCAATCTCCAATAGTATTTGACCAAATTTCAAAGTGACAATTTTTTTTTTTTTCAAATAAACATTGTTGTTTTAGGATAGTTAAATAAGAAAGGAACAATTCAAATTAAAAGATTGAAATGAAAAAAAAAGAAAGAGAAAATAAATGATGACTTTTTTGACTGAAAAATTTTATTTTCGTTTGTAAATATTTCCAAATAAGTGATTCATTCATTTTGAATGATTTTGCAAAAAGAAAAAAGTGTCAAACTTTTATTTTAATTTATGTTTACTGTTTTTGATGTATAATAAGTTATAACATAAACTGATGGAAACATTCATTTTAGAAAAATATGAAAAAATACTAGGCTTTCCCTTTTTAGTGTAATACAAGTTTTTTTTTTTTTTTTTTCACAGTACAGAATAGAAAAGCATTTCATCAAGAAAATCTTGATGAAATTTGTTTGAGAATGTGTCAGTTTATAGAAAGTGTTCAGCTTTTTTGTTTGTTTTTTCATTTTTTTGCCTTTTTTTGAGACTTGATGAGGAAGAATATTGTGTAAATTGAAATTTCAAGAATCACTTCAATATCTAAACATAATATTGATGCAGGCATATTCCCTTGAGTTTTTATAATAACGCACAAAATTGGCACAAAAATTGCTAACTATTTTAGGTGACAAACAACAAATTTTTTTGCCACGTTATATGTAAGGATGAAAAAAAATTTTTTTTCTTTTTTTTTGGTTTATTAATAAATAAATTACGAAATTGATTTTATTTGTTGTTTGGAGTAATTGTATTTAATACACTCACAGTTTAGTTTTTCATTTAACTTATTTTTTCTCGTTCCATTTATATGTATATTTATATACTTGTCATTATAATAACAGATGCTGTAAATTGTAACAATTCAATTATACGATAAAATTTTATTATAAAAGCTTTTAAAAATAATATATGATTACAATATCAGTTTTTTATTTATATTCTATAGTCTAATGATTTTGTCTAATCTCATTTCAAAATAGAAACGAAAAAAAAAAAACATTTTGAAAATTTACTTTCCTTTTTTTTGTTTCACTTATTTCTTATTTTATTCTTCAAATTTCATTAATTTTTCTTGACTCATGGCTTTTTCCCTAAAATCTATCTCAAAACTTATATATACATGCATATTAAGTTTTTTATTTTTCATAGTCGAATGCTCTTTTCTTAAGAAGTCAAGAGAGCAAGAAAGATAATATCACCGGGGACTTCCTTCTTGTTGATCCAAACATTTTCATCCCTGTTTTTAAAGTAAAGTCTTACTGTAAAGTTAATGTAAATATTTTTTTCTGCTTTCAATGGCAAAAAAAGCTATAGGAAATGGAATTTAACACTAAATTTCATTTCATCCATTTAACAGTCTTGTCAAAAAATCAATAAAAGGCAATTTAGGGTCATTGGTGAGGGAATTGAAAGTTTTTAAGCACTAGGAAAAATATGATGCATAAAAATGAGTGAAGAAAAAAAAGAAGATAGAAAAAAGGACAAGAGGGAAAATTTTAAAATGAAGAACTATACAAATTTGATTATACATTCTCGAGGACGAATGACTAATGGAAAGGAGAGTATCAATGCGGGCCAGTGGGGTCATCTTATATTTAATTTTAAAATAGGCACAAACATGTGCAAGCATATCTGTGGTTTGTCATTGCAAATCAGAGTATTGCAGTGGAAAATTTTGGGTAATGATAGTTTTTTTTTTTGCTAAATTTCTGGATAATAGTAGTATTTTTCTTCGTTTTTTAATTTTCTAGATAATAATATTGATTATTGAATAAGTAAATAAAGCTATTAAACTAAAAAAAAAGAATAAAAAATAGAAGAAACCTTGAATGTGATGAAGATGAAGTTTCCGGTACACTTTCCTGTTCACTACTTTTACATGCTGTTAAAGAGGGTGTTTCTTGCTTCGTATTCCTTCTCATTTCATTTAACATTGCTAATCGTTTGTTTTTCTAGAATATTTTATACCATAATATAAGTCAATCTTTCGAGAAAACATTTCCGTTTTTTATGGAAAAAAAAGTAAGATAAAAAAGAGGAAAGAGGAGGGAAAAAATGAGAAAATAACTAAAATAATAATGGATTCAAATCAAAAAAAAAAAATAAATAAAAATTGAAATAAAAATTTTATTTCGCAAAAAAAATTTGATATCCATATTTACCTGTTCACTTTTAGCAGCTAATAATTTAGCAGCTCGGTAAATACCCCAATACAAATACAACATGACAAATAATGTTGACCAATAATATGAGATATACATTCCCATATTTAAAATTGGATTTGTCATAAATTGCACATAACATTCATCATCTTTCAATATTCGCTCACCCGTAAATTTATCATAGCCAAATATTGACAAGCCAAATAATATGGTTGGAATCTAAAATGAAATGTTGCTGAAATGAAATGTTCGTCTGTGCTTCTAGTGCGTTCTTCATATTGTTCTCTCATGTATAAAAAGTGATAAATTCTAATAAAGAATATTTATTTGCTCATTAAGCAATTTGATAAAAGAAATAAAAAAAGCGATAGAAAAAATCAAAAAAAAAAAAAAAAAAAAAAAAAAAAAAGGAAAAGGAAAAGAATGAACGAAAAACAAAGCACAATCTGAGAAAAGAAAAAAAAATATGTCCGATAATTCTGAAAATATTCAATAATTGATTATTTCAAAAAAATAATGAAATGGTTTTTTTTCTTGGAAAAGAAAAAGAAAGGTATTTGTTTTAAATTAGTTTAAGAAATTTCCAACGGAAGTAAATTAGTAGTATTTCGGTTTTTAACACTACAACAATAATAATAATATTTCACAGTTAATAAATAAAATTACCAGCCATATAATTGCTACGGTTAAGATAAACCGTCGTGGTGTCCTCCAATTTCGATAGGCTGCAGGATACTTTACTGAACAATACCTGAAATATACCAAATTAAGCAGCTTATCTACATTGCATACCTCATTAACGTCTCTAAAATTACTGCTAACATAAAATCTTAATGTCTGAGCAGTTTTTTTTTTTTCCCTTCGTTAACAAACAATGAATATGATTGATTTATTTTAATAAATATTAATTTTTTCATTTACAGTATTATTTTTTTTTTTTGAGTAAATAAATGAGAACATTATGAATTCGTCTGTTTGTTACGCAATAAAATGTTATAATTATTCATTAATCATAATTAAATAAACAATTATTAAAATGCATAATTTTATAAGTAGGTAAAATATTAATGTCAAAAATGAATGGAAATGAATTCAATTCCATCACCTATCAATTGTGATACCAAGTACAGTATATATTGATGCGAGACAAACGACATAATCGACCATTAACCATAAGTCACAGAGAAACCAACCAAAATGCCAGCGTTGATCACTGAGGAGGAAATGTGTATACATAGGAATACCTTCCAAGCCAATTAACTATAATTAAAATTTAAATTAATTGCTAACTCTAATTAAAATTACCGTAACATTAGTAAGAGTAATTAATAGCTAATTGAAGAAATATATGTACATACAATTTACTAATGTTACTAATCAGATTAATGATATTAACTAATTGAACGTTAAAATGAACAATTTTATTTATATTAAATTTTCATGTCATCCAAAGTAAATATAAAATAATAATTATTAATTGAAAATTTGACTGATTCTTAACAAATTTGAATTTTGCTTTTGTCACATAAAAATTCAGTAATTTTTACAAATTTTACTTCCATTTTTTCACATAATAAGTTGTTTATTCTACTTTGAAATTGTTTTTTTTCTTACTTTGGTAAAGCGAAACATAATTTTGGCTTAGTTTGCTTCATTTTCATTTCCTTTTTTTTTTTTTTTGTTTAGCTTTTTTTTAAATTATGTATTTAAAATTCACCGAGGCATGCCATAATTTTTTTAAAAAAAAGTCTATAGAGCTAAAACATGCTTAACTAAACTGTTCAACAATGAATAAAGACTTAATCGCACTATAATACAAAACAAAAAAAAAAGTTCGCTTCGTTTTTGTTTTCGTTTTAAAAAATTATCAATCAAATTCAACATAATAAACGAACAAAAATGATTCATTGAAATCAGAGTTTACGGAAATTTTTTTTTTTTTTGGAATTTAATAGTTCATATTTTTATGATTACAATTGTAAATTTAAAATTATACAAGTAAAGGAAATAGATGAAGTAAACAAATGCATTTCTCATCCTTTTTTTTTCATTATATTTCTCATAGAAATTGTCGACGAATGTATGAAATGACAAATAAAACAGGTGATAACAGCTTGATTAATTAGCCCATTTGCTGGAAAGTAATTTTCTTTCATTCTATACTCATTCTTAAAGATAGATAAATTTTATAGAATTTTTTTTTTAAAAAAAAGAGAAGAAAAGCTGAAAAGTACATTTTTGCCAAATATATTAACTACCCGTTTTATAATCATAAGCTAATTATGAAGTACATTTAAATTTAAACTTAAGAATTAAAAGTTGCCCTGCCGCATGCTTTCACATAAAAGAACTACAAGCACATGGAAAAAATAACCGATAATTTTTCTAATTAAAGAAAAAAAGTGGAATAAAAAAAAAATTTAATTTTGAAATTCTTAAAAATACGACAAAATTATGCTTGAAAGTGAATTATTAAAATTTATTCTTTTTCAGTTTATATTTAACGACTCAGAGTTTTAGAAAAAATTCTTTCGTGAAAACTTTACTATTTATTAAACGAAATTCAATTGGAAATTTTTGTTTAACATTTGAAGATGTTAGCAATCATAATTATTTTGCAGTTTTCTCAATCTTTGCTATATAATGATTCCATCTACTCTATCGCTAATACTCTCAATTACTGTCACCGTTAGCAAGCGTAATTATTTTGCAATTTTCTCAATCTTTGCTCTATATAATTTCGTTTGTTTCATCGTTAATTTTTCTCACTTATTTGCATATTCATTTCATCCCTTTTCTGCATTATTTTCGCTTTTTCGTATCTTTTTTTAATTTTTTTTAATTTCCAGTACTCACTTTTTTAACCTTTTATTTGAATCTTGATGGTTTTGATATAATTCTAAAGTAAATGCATTTGAATTAAACGTTTTATATGTAATCACAGGCAACAACCACCAGAAAGTTGAATGAAATAGCTGTTAAATTCTTTGAAATGTTAATGAATTTTATAGAATATTCTTTTCAGTTGGCTAAAAAGAATATTAAAAAAGCTTTGGCTACAAAAATTTTGTAAGAAAATAATGAAAAGATCAAGTTGACTTTTTAATGATGTAAGATTTAACTAAATTAAAAATTAGATATGAATCAGTGAATATGGTTCAGTTAAATATTCCTTTATTTTGAAAACAATTTTCTTTCACTTCTTTCAGTATTTTTTGCTGTTTGTTATTACTGTTTGAAATTTAATGAAATTGAAACATTTGGGATTGAACGTAGAGTTGTTTCAATGACAGTAATTTTCAGCATTTATTTTCAATTTGTATGCAAAAAATTTCTTCCATAGCTATTATTTCATCTTTTCTTTTACTTTTATCAAAATTTAAAGAAAAAAGTAGCAAGGAATCTTCGCTTTATTTCTTTTCAAAAAAAGAGAAAACAAAAAACACCGAAAAAAAATTCAAAACTAAGCGCAATAAAATGATTTATGACATACTTTTTCTCTATTCTTTCTTTCATTCTTTTCTTTCGTTTTATTATCATCCTTTTAATCTTGACTTTTATAAATAAAACTTAGTTTCTGATTGCATAGTTCAAACTTCTTAATTCTTTTTTTTAAGAAAGAGAAAAGATGGTTGTTTCAAATTTTGTATCATTTTTAGCATTCATACTGTGAAATAGGATGGCAAATAGTTTGTTCCATTTTCTTTTTCCTTTCCTCTTTCAAATAATTAATATTGAAATGGAAGAAGAAATGACAAATGAGTTGCTTTCAAAATAAAAAAAAAAAAAGGAAAAAAATATGAATGGATGACGATTTGCTTGCAAAAAATACTCATTAAAAAGTTCCAGTAATCCCGTTATTTCGTGCTTGAGCGCTTATTTTGGATGGAAATTTGAAATGTTCATATCATCCTGAATAAGTTTATAATTAGTAAAGTAAACAAGCCAAAAACTTCATTTCAAAGAAAAAAAAATTTTTTTCAATTTCATTTCAAACTAACAAATATTCTCCTCTCACTTTCTTCCCTAAGCCTTCGTAATCACCGCCAGCTCTAAATGCAAAATGGAACCTTGTCAGAATGATGATAATTCTACCATTCTCAAAATAAAATGAACTGCATAGAGCAAAAAGATAAGTTTTCTTTCAGTTCTCTTATTCATCGATGAGAATTTACTCTTTCAAGAGAATTTTTTTAAACGCCTTTAATCGAAAGATATTATAAATCAACGTTTTGAGAGCAATAATTAATTTCGAAAAATATTAATTAATTAAACAGAAATAGCCTTCTGTAATTATAAAGTGATGATGACGTCAATGACAAAATCATGATAGCAGAAATTTGGTCCTGATACTTCTTCATCAACAGAAAGTAAAATATTTGATAATACTTAAAAAAGAATTAAAATTTTTCCTTAAATATAGTAAGAATTTAAAGTGAAAGAAAATTTTCCTTAAATGCATAAGAAAAATTATATGCTATTGATGATTAGAAATTACTGCACTTAAATCATTTAAGTGACAAACAGTTGATTATAACCTTGAAAAACAAAACACTGGAAGTTTAAAAATTAATGAAACTTCAAAAGTGCACAAATGAAAATGACTATAAAGATTTAATAATAAGTCGTGCACAATATTTTTCATTTCAATTTTAAATGCATTCAATTTTTTCATGCGATATCAAAATGAGCAAATAATATTCTTACTTAACTGTTTACAGTTTTTGGAAGTTTAAATGCAATTTTTGGTTCAAGCGAGAATTCAATTTTTGAAAATCATTCATCAAAATAATGGCTTTTTCTGTTTTTTTTTTCGTTTTTTCTTTTAATACGATAGTAGGTTAAAAGGCTAAAACAAAAAATTATAAAACTTTTAAACACCACACCTAAAACAAAAAATAAGACTTGAACAAATAAACAAAGATCCTGAATGATAAAACTGATAACATGCGGCTAACATCCATCACAGTCTTCATCTCAATACTTTTATACCTTATTTCTTGCATATTACTTTTATAACACTGATAAAGTAACCACTACAAATAAGTCGACGACCTGAATAGACCACATTATTTTTTTTTCTGATCTCATAAACACAATTTATTCAATTCATTTTTAAAAGCTAAGTGTCATTTCGGTAAAATAATTTTAGATAAGAATGTAACAATAGCATTAATAATATGACTTTCTCTTCTATTACTTATTGTTTTAATTTTACTGTAATTCATTTTTGGATATTAAATAATCTTTTATTACATTTTGTGCTTTCTACTTTTCAATAGGAAAAGGCATAAAAAAGTTGTGAAATAATTTTTGGATTAAAAAAATTATTAGCATTTATTGCGCTTATCTTTAATTTGATTTAAAGAACACTTTTAGCAAACTTTTTTTTTTAACTTCGCTGTTATTTTAACATTTAAACTTCTAAGTTTCATATTTTCAAACAATCTTTCGTTTCATTTCGGAAATGAAAAAGCGAAAAAAGCAAGAATCCATCCATTTGCTATATCAAATGCATTCCTGAAATAAAAATCGGAAATGAAACAGCCATAGGACTTTTTTTGGTAAAATGAAAATTATGTTGACCGGAATTGCTGAAAATCATATATTTCATCAATTTTAACACTTTATTAAAATGTCCAATCTATGTTATTAATTTTTTATCTTTTTATATAGCACATAAAAAGAAATAGGAAAGATAAAAGTGAGGAAGATTATATTTTAAATTAAAAAAACCGTTTTAATATTTTCTTTCAGTATTTTTGAATTCAAAAAGAAAAAATGATTAAAATAATGCATAATTGATAAATTCGAATCGTTTATTCAATTGTTTTTCGCTTTTCTTTTCTATTTTGCTGTAATTATCAAATTTTTTTGCTTTTAATCAACTTTTAAAGCTTTTCATTTTTTTTTTTTTTTAACTTTCTTTGTTATTTAAAATCACTAACTGAGCTAAGACCATTATTTTTGCATTTTTTTTATCCTCTTTCATTCTGATTCTTTAATGATAAAATTATTTCCTTATTTGTGGAAAAAAAACATTATCTTCTCTTTAGTACTAGTTTCCGAAAAAAATCTGAAAAAGTGTAAGTTTTGACATCTGAAGAATTCTTGCACACATATTATTAATGATGATGGTAATAAAAGTAATAATAATGATTCACAATAATAATAATGATAATAATAATAAATAATAGTGATAATAATAATATCAATAATACGAAAGTATAATATCA